CTCGCCGTGGTCGTTATTGGCTTGTAGGAACTTGTGCAATTCAGGTAAGATGTCGGGACCGGCCTCGACGTTGTCGAAGTTCACACATGGGTCGTCCTCAGATCGCCGGGATGTCTGCCGCCCAGGCCAAGTGCACGGCCTTTCGTCGTCGACGTTCACCTGCTCGTCGTGGTCATCCCCGGCTCGCTGGGACGTCCTCCAGGCACGCGAGACGTTCAGCTCATTTCTGCCGTCAACGTCCGCCTGCACAGACATGCAGCCGCGATTGTTATTCGACGACCGCTCCGTGTCGTCGGCCTGTAACAGACTCTGAGGCGCCTCGCGGATCGATGGGTCCCATCTCTTCTGACCTTGGTGGTCCAAGTTGTTACCGCCGGTCTTGCCCACCACGGTCGTCACCTTGTCGGGCTCACGGCTGCAATCTTCCTCCACTTTGACTTTCTTGGCGTCTACTTTTTTCTTTTGAAACAGAAGTTCTTCGTCTGGTGTCTTCGTCCGGGGACATTCGCGGGAATAGTGCCCCAACTCCTTGCATTTAAAACACTTCACCCGATAATTTTCAGGTACGATTCCCTGCCTTGGGCTCTCGCGTTTTTCCTTGAGAGAAGTGGTGGTTTCAATAAAGGGCTTCCAGACCTCAGCTCGCGACAGTCCGAGCTCTAACAAGACCCGTTCTTTGACCGCACCATACCCACTTCTCTCACCCGTGTCCACCCTATTCACTAGTGCACGCATGCTCTCCGTGAAATAAGGTCGCACAAGATATCCTTTGAGCCGCTCAGGGACTTCATATGTCTCGAAGACGATTTCTACGCCATCAAACCAGCTCGGCACTAATATGTCGGACGACGGCATGGGAGTCAGCACTCCCTTCATCAATCTCGAGAAGCGAAAAACTTCATTTCGGAGGTTGAACTCCATGCCGCCTCCACTGGCTCGCCTTCGGTTTTCTGAGCGTAGATGTTCTAGTTCTAGCTCGAGGCGTAACAGCCGTTCTTTCTCCCTTACTAGTTCAATCTCCTTTTCGATTGAGCTATATGATCGGACTCCTCCATTCCCATCCCCTTGTGTCTGCGAGTTTGCCACTAATCCACTCAAAGATGACAATTCACCTTGCCCGTCAACATTCCAATTCCGAACCCTATCCTGCTCTGGCGTTAGAACCGGCATCTGCCGCTCTGCGCTGTCTCTATCCATGGCGGGCACACGTCAAAGAATCACCTTACCGTAAGGTCAACGACTGCCGCTGGATCACAGACGCAGCCCGCTGCTCAGAATAGTCAGGCACGAAAATGATTCCGAGCTGTAGACTCAGGCGTTCCTCGCTGGAGTGGGACGGCATCAGGTCCGATGTAGCTCTGTCACCACGAAGTAGTTCGGTGGTCCAGTCTTCAAGGAGCTCGGTGGTCCAGTCTTCTCTTTAGAAGGCTCCACCAAAGCCGCGTCAAGCCGCTGTCCGCCGATTCCGTTGTGAAGATCACGCCGCCGGGGTCCGCTGACGCAATCCTGTCGACTGCGCCAGTGAAGATGTTCCTTATCGAGATTGCGCCGGGACCCGACGACGGAGGCAGCTGATGGTCGCTGGCGGAAGAGTGAACCAGACAGGACTCCGCGGATAGGAGAAAAAAAAGAACACGTCTATTTACAAGCGAAGCTCATTTTCGAATGTCGCCGCAGAAGGTTACAGCACGTGCGGTCCTTGTCTTCTTCTCTTCTCAAAGCCTCCCCTCCCCCAGCTCGCACGAGCGTCGCCAGTTCACCCACACACAGCGGCGCACGTGCAAACGCCAACACGCAATGGAAAGAAAAAGAAGCTCGGTCCTGTTCCCGCGTCCACCCACGGTGATGGCGGGGCCGATTCTCACAGTATCCACGAGTGGTACCAGGAAAGCGACGTCAACAGAGAAGGAGCTCGCGATTCAGCATAATGCACTGCTACGGGCCCGTGTATCTTCAAAGTTCGGGGTGGTGGCAGTATAAAAAAAAGACGCATCAGCGCCCCATACCAGTGTTCACGAATAACACCGGTCACAAACTCCCAAGCCCCACCGCTCTTCTCGACACCGACACGACATACGACAACAAACTGCATCAAAACGCCCCAAAAGTGAAGGCGTCTGCTCCCGTACTGCAACTGCTGCAACTAGCGGAAGTGAAGTGTTGGGCGGATGTCCGAATGTCCTTCACAAAAATATATAAAAAATGCTTTGCGCAAGGATAATTTTCATTTATTATTGTATACGTAATGACAAAATCCCAATAATTTGTTTTCCTATCTGATTCAAGCTAGTCAGACTGCTCATAACACTGGTCAAGCAAGAAAATAACAAAAATTTGAACTTTTTCATGACCGGTTTAAGATTTATTGTTAACATATCGTTATTTATTGCAACGGACTAACATTATAGATTTTGCCTCCATACGTTTTAAATGCAAACAGTTCTAACACACGACTGTCCATTCCGCCGTGTTTTGTGTATTCTTCTATAAATCTGTAATGGTCAGCGACCAAAGAGCTCACCCGCACATGTCAAGCTTATATGCGCCGCGGGGAGAAATGGATATCGAGTAGGAAGTGTCGGGCGTAGTATCGGTTGTTGTGTTTGTGTACATGTCGGTGCTGTGTTTCTGTGTTTCTGTGTGCTGTGTTGCCTGCGTTGGATGTAAGGTTGCTGTGTAGTTGTGGTCGTTCGCAGTATTAACAGACTGGTCTTTTTCTTTTTTAAACAGGCCGCTAGAAATCTCGATAGGTGGCGCAAGTTACCGCCCGATTCTAAATAGTTTGCTCAAGTTATTTATCCATGTAAGTTCGGCATTCGTTTTTTTTTTTTTTGTTTTGTTTAGCGGTTTGTTGAAGCTACTGACGCCGCCGACCGCCGACAACGCTCGTACGTACCTTTGCAAGTAGCTACGTCCGCCGCTTGGAGACTTTACTGTGTATAAAAGACATCGAACGAGAACTAACGCGCCCTGTGTCCTTTCAATTCGGCTGAAAGGCGCGCGGCTCGCTGGGCTCGTCTCTCGCCTGTTCTCGGCCGCTGGCCGCCATGTTTCATAAGGAACACGCTCGAAACGGTTTTGCGGAAGGCAGACACGGTGTAGCGTGTTAAGTTTACACAGCACCTCATGTGTAGACGAAAAACACAGATGGCCTCGTGTAAAACGAACACGTTTCGACGTGTCCGCTATGGGACAACGGTTTACACGTCTGGGCGTGTTATTTTTGCTAACAGTGTACTGCGTGAGTCCGTAAAGACTTCAGACCAGCAGCCCTACTCCGCTGGATTAATGTTTCATCTACCCTCCCTACCGAAAAATCCGGTATAACTTTTTGCTATCCGGATTATGGAACCGGAAATCTATCTGGATTCTATCCGGATTCTATCTGGAATTTAGATTTTCAGAAATTATTCCTTTGTCTGCAATCTGGATTTCGGGTTTCCAGAAACAAATTTCTGGTTCCATAATCCGGATAGTGAAAAGTTATACCGGATTTTTGGGTAGGGCTAGGTAACAATTGTCACGGTGTGTGCTGGTTGATATACTTCACATGTGAGTGATGTACTTTCGTTGTGTACAAGCACTTTCATAACCACGTAATTTTCATAAAACAGTGTGTGTGTTAAAAAGTCGAGCTCACAGAACGAAATGAAGCCCATATTTGTTTTGCTGCCCTCGCTTTCGCAGCCCGGCTTTTAATAACCTGTTTTCTTCGTTAAATGCAGATGACTCGGTGTTGGATTCGACTTTTCTTATTAACGACTGGGAGGTGTGGTTATTTGTATTTAAGAACTGGTTTGAGCTGGTTCGCGCTTGGTGGCATTGGCAACCAAATCTTTAGTTCAAAAACATGACTGAACCTGCAGAACCGAACCGGACCAAAACAAAAATCTACTGAACCAGAACCCGAACTGAGCCAGAACATTGACAGGGTCGCCTCCCTGCTTTTAAGTTGTAACCCATCCGATCTTCTAGTGTTTCCGTGGAACACAAATAAAGAATTAGAATTAATATGTTAAAAATCATAAGAATCGCACAGAGAACGTAAAAGTTTACGTTCTAAGGCAGGTTCCACAATGTGGTGCTACAGTCGCTTGTGCTGGCGCCGTGAACCATACCGATTGCACTTTGTCAGCGGTTTTCTGTTCTGGCCGGAGTCATTTGGGGCAGGTATACGCGGCGTCGCTTCTAACAGCGCACTATCGCTACTGTTGTGTAAGTACTGGTAACAGAGATGAAGATAGAATGAAGGAAGTGGCACTAGTAGATACTCAGTTATTTCGCTGTGTTGAAGAGCCAATCCAACCCCCACGACTTACATGTGCGTGCTGCCGGTTCGCACGCCTCCCACACCGCTACCTACGCACTTATGTCCACTGTCAGTGCGATTGATCATAGACTGCACACAGGGTGGAGTTCCTTCCACATTACAAAAACGGGCAGAAGACATTACTTTAGTTAATAAGCTGCTTGCCTTCATTTAGTTTCCCTAGTTCATCCAACCAATGTAGAGTGCGGAAAAGGGGGAGGGGGGTACCAGTCTGCCGAACGTCAACTTCTATGTTTCGTAATTTATGCGGTGGAAATGTTTGTAGAACAAGAACATATGACGCTGTCACACTCTAATTCGTCGCAATGTTACTAGAACAATTCAGTTTTGAAAGTGCCATAGAGCCTGCTTTGAAAAAGTGGTCCCGATCCGTACGCGAGAAGTGAACTAAAGACGATCACAACGCCGCCATTTCTCCCGCAGCGGCCACTCTGGGAACTGCATGGCTGCACGTATTGGTTTAGGTCGAGTCGCGCAAAGGTCGGTGGCGCCGCATGTCGCAGTGCGATTTCGCAGTGGCTATATAAATCCACTTTCATATTTTGACTTGTCGCGAAAGGGTGGCGCTGTTGTCGCATTTAGTTCGGTCTCGGCTACGCCAGCGGTCCGGGTTTCAAGGGTGAGGTTTTCAACTGAATTTTCTAGTAACGTTGGACGTCGCTGTGCACAGGGCGTCGTCCTCCCAGCAGCCTCTCGTGGCCACGCATATCTTCTGCTTGGCCACCCGCTGCGTCGCACCGGGAGTCCCCGTGCACGAGTGTCCGGGCCCCCAGCTCGACGTGTCCGCGTTCTTGCTGCCGCACCTGCCGAGGCCCGAGAACTGCCAGCCCTGGGCCCAGTACCTGGTTCAGCACTCGGCCACGGTTTCAGACCTGGAGCTGCTCACGGGGCTCCGCTTCTTTGCAAGGCTACCAGTCTACGAGGCTATCCGAATGCGCACACATATACCGCAAGGACTCTGGCCTGCTGCCTGAATCATTCACCATCAGCTACTGTTTGATTAGAAGTCCCACATATCAGCGATTCGTCAGCTGAAAAGTCAGAACGAGGACAGGGCGCGTTTAAAGGTAGCGATCAATACGAAAACTATTCTCTTCTGTTTGTACGCTTTGCAGTGAAGTCAGGAGTTCCAAAGGGCGTTTAGTTTGTGCATTTGTTTCCAAGATATATTTGGTATTGGGTTTGGGACGTTTATGGCACTGTTGAGTTTTAGACACACAGAAAGGTAAATCACAGTAATATAGTGAATTAATTAGCAAGTCCATTTTCATAACGAGTTGCATTTATATTGCAGCTAGGTTACTTGGAAGAGTGAAGGAGTGAATGAACAACTGTTGTTGCACACCAAGAGAAAGCTTAGACGCCACAAGTTCCTATTTTACATCTGCCGGTTTTGATTTGAGCAGGAGATATGCCAGTGTTGATAACGACCCAAGAGCTTTTGCTTGAAACAATTGTATGGTTAAAAGAGTTTGAAGCTTGTTAATGGGAAACCTGCTTTGTATAGGTCTTCAGGTCATGAGCATGCTTTCTAGATCCTGCAAACTATTGGTTTTGTTCTTATTTTAGTTATTTCATATATTGCAGGCTTCGCTAGCACCCGGGCAGGTGTGCACATAACACAAATGAAACGACATGGCAAAAGGTTGCGCACATTCAATACAAAAGTTCAGCAATAATAAATATAAGAAAATTAATTCAAACGGGTAAGTCTGTAAACTCATTAAACTTTGACAAAAACGACGATGGCGATGAGCTGTCATCAATTTTTCTCGGCGGGCAAATCTCTTTTGTGATGATTCTTGGAGAAGAGTATCTAAAATATTATTTTTAATGCGGTGATGTTTGTTTAATCGCTCCACCGTGATTAAACCGAGCAGTCTGACGTAAAACAGGGAGTGCGAAGAGTCAATCTTTAAATGTCCGTAATAAAATAAGTAAAAAAAAAAAAAAACTCGCGTAACAGATGTTTCAGCATGATGTTAGTGAGTACAGTTCAAATGAATTTTTCATCTGTAGCGGGCTGTCTATCCAGCTGCATCTGTTACAAATAAATCTTGCGGCTAGTCATTGCACTTTGTCTATTTTTTCAGTGTTGTTTTGTGTGTACGAATTTCAAAGCCTGCATATGTAGTCCAAATGTCCTATTTTTACTGTTTCATATACACTAAGCTTTACGCTTAATGGTGCTAATGCTAAACTTCGATTTGAGAGAATAAAGTTCGTAATGCAGTGTAGCACGTATTGTTGATGTGTGTCCAAACTAGAGGTTTTGTAAATGTTAGCCGGATATATCCTATTTGCTTTGACTGCCCGATCGTAGTACTACAAAGGAGTCAAATTTTATTGTTTTTGTTTCTTGTTCAACCTAGTTCGACACCAAGAATAGTGTTATTTTTTTAGGTTAAAGGGCACATACCATACTTCGCACCACTTATCTATATTTCGAAGAGTACCATGCAGTCTAATTTCAACATCATCAACTTGTATTTTATTCTAAACAGCACAATCATCAACGAACAACCGAGTGCTAATCTTATTAAGTATACAGCCAGTGGAAGCTCATCGTTCCTCGTAGAGGGCTATCCCTGACTGAATTCTCGTAGTGTGTTGCGATGATCAACCAGCACGTCCGAGAAGGGAAGATCCATTTACTCGTGCGGCGATGTTGTGGCGGCACCTTGAAGGCAGCACAAACACTCGTTCGGTTGTCTCGGTTTACGTACTATAGTGGTGCTCGAACATCGCCCGGATTTCTTATTTCGCGCATTACATGCGTGTGCTCAAGTTCAAGGTATTACTGGTGCGTAGAGTATTTGAAGGCCTGTATGAAGGTTGCGAATTTCGACGCGTTTTCATCACCCGAGAAAAGTAACTGGTGTTAGCATTCCTCAACGATCGCAACGTCTATGCGATTACGTAATTATATTTCTACGTTGTTAGATCTCTGCTAAGATTACATCGTCTTTTGCAAACGTATAAAAGGCGTATGACGAGATTTGTACTATCAGTAAAGTCGTGTTTTAAAGTCGTCGTCGTCCCAGACGGCATACTGTATCTTTTTCTTTTGATTTCTTCATCCACTCTGCCCGGCGAGTATATCCATGACAAAATAAAAGTTAATAAAGCTTAAAGGGAAACTGCAAAGAAAAAAAGTTTTTTTTTTAAATTTTTAACAGCCTAATTGGGACAAGCATGTCAAAAAAAATTTTCCCGCGAGAAAAAGCATTTTTTTACGGCAATAAATATTGCGTGAGACTGATTTTAGTTTGCGGCTATTTCGCCCGTTTTAAATCGCGCGCCACGAAGTTAGGATTCCGTGACGTTGAATCCAAATCGGCAGCTATACTTCTCATTGGCAAAGAGTTTGATTGACAGCTTAGAGCTTGGTTGTTAAACCTTTGTCATATGGTGCAATTTCCTTTTGAGTGGCATATTTTACATTTAAAGAATAACCCATGTGATGAGAGTTATTATTCTTTAGAAAAGGTTTACGAGACGGGCACTTCTGTTCGGATTCATACCATAACAAGCAAAAACTCCGCCATTCTCTCATGGCCGCCGAAGTCTCCGCTACCGCCTGTCTCGCCTACCTCGACTAATCGTTTCGCCGAAGTGATCAGTGTTCGTGCTGACCCAGGTGCTTGAGTGAGACTTCTTGAAGTGAAGTAGTGTGTGTTTAGCAGCTGTCGCAGGTGTTAGTGATAGGAAGCGACGCGGGGTTTTTGCTTTCATAGCGCGGTTCTTTCGTTTTCCTGTTTGCTTGCTTAGCGTGTTTTGTTTTTATAGTTTTTTTTTTTGCGCTTGCGCGTGCAAATGCTGACTATTCGGAGATGTCAGATGAGTGATCCCGACAGCGAGCCTTCTAGCAGCCATGTCGCCCCGAAAGGAATGCTATTTGGCTGGAGGCAATCGAGCGTCCGCGTAGCGACAGACGTGTCCAGTTACGTTCTTGTCATATCGCTCCGGAGGCCGTCGAGATTTGCACCGGGTGCCCGGGGGCATCGAACGTCCGCGACCAGACACAGCTGTTACGTAAAAGCCTGGCACAGACAGGTGATTACGTAGTAGCTGTCTGCAGAAGCTCTCGGACGTTCAAGTTCTGCGTTAGCCGACAGATTTTTTTTCTCAGCTTTCGCACCATCTTACGTAAATTGTTTGAATGAATATGTACTGTTACCGTAAATCTTGGCTTGTGATCGCGGCTTTGTAGATGATCATATTCGTTTTGCTGGAGATACGCAAACGACGGGCATAACAAAATCGGTTGCATATTCCGCATACCTTGCAAAAGCACTTCCCCAGTCACCTTGCGAAAAGCGCGAAACATGGAGTCCGCACCGTCCCGACTTCCCAGTCTTTTACCTGCTTTAGAGCAGTTCGTACCTGCTAGTAGGTATGTCTACTGAAACTTGAAACTATGTGCAGTGCCAGAGAGGCAAGGAGACAGCTCGCTCGCCCTCCCCAATTTCTGAACTTTTAAGTGATTGTACCGTAATAAATGCAAACGCTCTTCTCTAAATAAAAAAAGAAAGAAAAGAGCACTATGTTCCCTACGTAAAAAATGGTCTCAGTTCATGCATCATTGGACAGGTAGAAAATCTTGCCCAAATTTATTCACACCGCACGATGAGCGCAACACGTCGCTGTGCAAACGCAGTTCAACACGAAGCATAAAAACGGCAGATTTGGGACAACAATTCGAAGTTCGTTGTTCAATTAAAACGACGTAATTTTGTTGAAAAAGCCCGCAGCTTTTTACTCACGGTATGCGTCGGGAATCTTCCACATTTTGGAACGGAACGAAGGGAGATTTACTTTTAAAAACGCTCGCCGCGTCCTCCTGGACCAGTTTGGCTGGATCAGCTGACAACGACGGGACTGAACCCGTTTAACCTCAACCCCACAACAGCCAATTTGCGCTCCATGTTGGGTGTCTACTTTGAAGCACTGCACCACACACACCACGAACGTTTCAGTTCTTTGTCGCATCGCCGTGTTGCACCAAACAGAACGAGATCGCCGAAGTCAACGCAGTGCTGTTGTGAGCGTTGGCTTGTGGTTGCACACTCGTGGAACCTGTGACTCCCTTCGCTTTCAAAGCACACACGACGATTACGAATGATACTTTGCGTCTTCCGGGAACACCACAGGGGCACTTGTCCGGTCACGTCTTCGCCGTGCTCGCAAACACCGTAGCTTCTCGTGTACCGTCAAACCAAAACAATACCGGCGCCATGTTTAGCGTGCGTTGTTGCCAGATCATACCGGAAGTCGAGACCCTGCGTCGTTCAACTCAGCAGCCAAGTCAACAAAAAAAAAAAAAAAAGAGCAAATCCAAGAGATAGGGGCAGGGCGTAGTTCTCCTCCGCGGCGGTCGAAAGAGCGAGAGTTTCAAATGTGGAGATATTCTGACTGCAACTAAATTACGTCCTGTGACGTAAATATTGCTAAAAAATATTTTTTTTCGCGGAACATTCGTTTTGTTACATGCTTGTCCCAATTAGGTTGTTTAAAAAAAAAAAAAACACTTTTTTTTTCTTTGCAGTTACCCTTTAAGCCGATAAAAACTGTGCATTTTTTTGCTACACCAGTGAGTGACTGCGCGTCCGCTTCTTTTTAGCGATACCGCGGAAACGGCTGACGGCGACGGAGAAGCGGCCGTCGTGCTGACGACCTGATGGGCTCGTGGCGGTGGTTGTTGGAGTGCGTACGCGCGGCGCAGAGCGGTTGTTCCGGTCCCTCCGGGCACAACAAACGCAGTCGTAGCTAACTCGCTCGTTTCAAGTGCCCGAATGACAGTTTGTGCAGTCCATAGCTTAAAAAGAAATGGCTGCAGTTTCCCCGCTTGCCACTCGAGGAACCACGTTGAAGCACTTGGTGCAGGCTCATCGGTTTCAGAGACCCCAGGTCTAAGGACTTCCGTATATGCTCGAGGTATTCCGTACATTGGAGTCGCATCTCCTTGTCGTCCGATTTCAACGAGGAACTGGAGTCTTCGTCGGAAGAGTCGCTGCACTTTCCCACAGGCATACCTGCATACGAGACCAGTCCCTTACTATCGCTGTAGCGCAACATATCTAATTCAATTTACCTCAGCTGCGATGTTTTCATGGCTATCGCGGCGAGGAGAGGCGAGGATTCAGAATATGTCCGAAGCAATCTGAAGCAACGTTAACTCCTTCCTATGAAGCTCATTTCTAACCTCACTGAAGTCCTTATAGACCGACACGCAGAGTGGCTCTGTTTACCAACACGGCCGGAAGGCCGCGCATGCGCGGTAGCTATGTGGGCAAAAGCGAACAGGCTCTCCGTGTTTCCGCTATTGCGCTGCGTGGCGTGCGCTCGTTGTTGACGTTGTAGGGACGCTTGTATCTTTATTTGTGCGTCGTATTTCCTCACAACGTATGTAGTATGCTATGCCCGACTATTTGAGCTCGCTGCCCGAGCCTGAACGGCAGCGGTATCGAACCAAACTGTGCGTGGACGGCGTTGCCTACGAGGATCCGTACGCCGTAAACAATGCCTGCTGGACTTCTGATGTAAAGTTGCTGCCACCGAAGTCGACGGCTCACGTCGTCGTTTATTTAGTTTTTTCACCAAGCCAGTTCAAGGCCGACACTGTGTAGGCGTACAAGTCTCTCGAGGCCTACGATTACTTCGAGTCGGTTTCCGCACTGCCGGCGGGATCAGCAGACTGTGGGTCTGCGGAAGTGTATTTATTAATTAAAGAAATACGCACAGCGTCTTCAAGTCAAGGCATGCTATTTTTCCTACTCCCACGACCACAAGGCATGACAAGCAGTAACGCTTTGTCCGTTCTGCAGTCTTGGCGGTAACACGTTACAAGTAACGGCGTTAGCAGGAACGCGTTACTTTTTCCAGTAACGTAGTAGCCTACTGGTTACTCTTTCGACACAGTAACGGGTAACGTACTTACGTTACTATTTCAAGTAACGTAGCTACGTTACTCGTTACTATAATTACACTTCAATTTTTCCCTGTTTTTAGGCGTCAAGCCATGTTTTTCTATGCGTTTTTTCTTGTCAGTATTTAGGTGAAACCTTAAAAAGAG